ATGAGGTCTCCCTGGAGCCTTCTCTTCTCCCAGCTCTCTCAGCCTGTCTTTATAAGAGGGGTGCTCCAGCCCCCAGTTATCTTCGTGCCCCTCTGGGCCTGCTCTAAGAGGTCCCTGTACCTCTGGTGCTGAGGGCTCCAGATCTGGACCCAGCACTCCTTGTGGGGTCTCACAAGGGCAGAGCTGAGGGGCAGAGTCACCACCTCAGCCAGGCAGCTGCTGTTCCTTCTTGGTTATCAAACTGTTCACCTCCTGCCCAAAGAGGTCAGTCCCAATGGTTCCCATCCTTCCAGGGCATCTCACTGGACCTAAGACAACTCCCCAAATGACTCTTTATTTCTTTGCTCAGAATTGCTTTTCTGCCACCTTAGCAAAGGAGATCAGCCATCAGGGAGTCCAAAGTGTGCCAAAGCAAGTGCAAAGAGAGGTGTGTGGAGGGGAAAGGTGCTGAATGAGTTGTTAGGTCAGCTCAAGCCATGACAGATACCTTTGCCCTCACTCCTGCTTTCAGTGTGACCTAATATTAAGGGTGCTGACAAAGGAGCTCTGTCAGGTCTTGTGGCTGCAGTTGGAGGACACATCATACCAAAACACGGCTGCTCTGCCATGGTACCTGCACAGCAGGCAAAGGAACAGTACAGCTGCTGGTGCCTCAGCTATTTCTGTGTAAAACTAAGCCCCCAGTGAAGGTGGATGTAAGGCTCTGGACTTTGGACTTTTGAAGAGGCTGAGGCAGAAATACATTCTCTTCTGCCAGCACTGCAGAGGAGAGGTTGAAAGCCACAGCAGAGGGATGGGGAGGGCAGGAGGGGTCAGTGACCTCTCAGGAAGCCATGGCAAGGTGTGCTAGCACTGGTGTGTCATCTCTGCACAAACACTACCTGCCCCTTGGCCAGAGGGATTGTATAACCATACCAACATTGTCAGAAAAGTACCTTCTGTAGGCAGAACTTCAGTTATTTTCTCACTAGATCATGAGACATCAGCTCTACAAATCATGCTATGAGGATGATTTGTATTTTGTAACAGTATTAAGAGTACTGTTTTACAGTTTCTCACTGATGCAAAGAATACTCTTCCCTTCTTCCCTTTCTCTTGCTGGGGCCCTTGCAGTTCAGCCCTTGGCATTGGAGAAGTCTGGCTTTCCAGCAGGAAAAATCTGAAAACAAGACTCAAAATGCTTAAAACTCCCTGCTCTAAAAAAGTGTGAAGCAGTTCATCTGTAAATTCTCTTGTCAGAAAAATAGCATTAGTGTATAACTAATATCCAGGCTTGACTGACACCAATTATTCTAATCCTCTAAAACAAATCTCCTTAAAATCATTCTGCCAGCTTGCTAATGTCCTTTTTTAGTCTACTGAGCTCTAATGTGCGCCATACTGGCAGTGAAAGCAACAGATATGCAGGATTCAGAAGTTTTCAGAATTAGATGAAATGGAAAATAAGAAGGCACAGAATTAATTTTAGAAGTGAAAAAAAATTTCTCTATTGTAAGGATAAACAGAGCTTTACATGGCAGAGGGATTGCTCATCTATAACTGAATGATGTAGGATTTTTAATTAAATTGTGGTGACACCTTTCATGCCTGAGATGCACAGCACTGTAAACAAACCTTAAGCGCAAACATGTTTGCGCCATGTGCAACACTGACATTGTACATGTACATTTGTTTGGAGAGCAGTGGAGTGGTCGCAAGAAGGGCTATGGAAGGTTCAATGCTGGTCCTGTTCCAGCTCTTTAGTTCTGGGTGGTTCTCATCCACTGCAGTATACATTGAGGATACACTGCTTTGCCTTTCTATTGGCAAGTTCATGGCTTAGCCTGGGAATTACTGCAATTGCAGCCCAGCATCTCTCAACTCAGCTTTGGTACCCCTAAGGGGCATGAGAGAGCTCTTGAAGAGTGTCTGTGGGCTAGGCAGGAATTTGTCCTTTCTTGGTGATGAACAAGGTGATGTGTGATAGAGGCTGTGATTGCTCAGGTCACAAACTATAATGATGGAATGAAAACTGTTTTTGGGTGCAGTCTGCATGCATGGAGAGGTTCTAACATCACAACCTCTGTCACACACCTTCATTATTATCATCATCAAGGGACAAAGAGATGAAGCAAAATGGCACTGGTAAATAAAACTAAATAGAATCACTACTCTTTGTTCCTCCTGATGTTTTATCCTCACATGGAACAGTAATGCACCTGACTGCTATTGCAAATGCTAGTATGAAAAGCACATCATGCTTCAAGGGCCAAAACACTTTGTCCACCAGAAAACCTGATTTGCCAACAAAGGGCAGCACATGCCCTGCTGAGGAAGACATGCCATCAATGCTGGGGAATAAAAGTATTTCCAGCTCTGAACATCACTCTGCAACTGGGGCTGTGGACTCAGTTTTCTAAGACAAATCTCTAACTCTCTAAGGTGACTTTTTCTGATGGAGACCTGTAATCTAACTAACTCATAATTTCAAACTTTCAAAAGGAGAGAAATAAAGCTGTAAAGACCACCTTCAGCTACTGCCAGAAGGCATCCCTCTTAGCCCTTGACTTGTCAAAGTGGCATCATTACACTTGATAGAAAGGCTGGAAATTCAGTGTTTATAAATACCTGATTCTGGTACAGGACTGTATATCTGCATGTGTGTGTGAGCAAGAAAAGGGGAAAAAATCAAAGGGTTTTGGCACATAATGGCTTTTATATAATAAAAGTGTGTATATAAATAAAATTTTATATAATAAAAATGTGTACAATAATATGCATCAACAATATTTCCTAATGTATCCAAATTTCATAATGTTGAGATTTTGCAGCTGAACTAATCTTGCATCCCTTGCTGATTATGACAACTGCTCTTACCCTATCATACATGACTTATTTCTCAGATAAGCATTAAGGGATTAATAAGATTCAGAATTGTATCTTATTAATTATAACCCCATTTTAATGTGAAGTGTATACCTAAATCAAATAAGGTCCTTTGACAGTCCATATCTCCCCACATACGAATTTATCTGATGTAATGTTGCTCGGCTCTCGACAGAGCTGTCAGGCACTAACTTTATAGGATTAGACCTGTGCTTAGTGCTATGCACTGAGGGTAGACACCACTGGATTCAAGGAGAACAAACGTGGAATACGTGACCCGCTCCGGCATCTGCCGGGGCCTGGAGTTTGCAGCTCGAGCAGCACCAGCAGCACGGGCTGCTCGTAATCCCGTCAGGATTCGCGACGGGAAGGGGAAGAAAAGAACCAGCACAAATTTTGCCTTTTTTGGGGGTGAAATGTGCCGGGTTCCAGCCGGAGCTGTCAGTCCCGCGCCGTGCCGTGCCGGTTGCTGAGCGGGCTCGGGGTGCTCGGCCCGCACGGGCAGGCGCACACACGGACCGCGTCCCGCACGGGCAGGCACACACGGACCGGGTCCTGCGGGCTCGGGGGGCACATCCCGGACGGGCAGGCGCACACACGGACCGGGTCCCGCACGGGCAGGCACACACACGGACCGGGTCCTGCGGGCTCGGGGTGCTCGGCCCGCACGGGCAGGCACACACACGGACCGGGTCCTGCGGGCTCGGGGTCTCGGCCCGCACTGCCCCCGTGGGGTGCGGAGGGGTGCAGCTGTGTCAGTGTGTCTGTGTGTCTGTGTGTGCGGACTCTGGGGCAGCGCAGGTGGCCGCCGAGCAGGGGGATGACTCGGCACACACACACAGCGCTGCGGGGGCTCGGTGACATCGGTAACTTCACAGACACCGACTCAGGCACGGCCGCCCGGCTTGCCCGCGGGCAGCGCCTCTGAGCAACGTGACTTTGCTTCGGTTTTGGTTTCTGTGGAGGCTTCTCTTGTTTGGTTAACAAATCCCGGGCGTGTTGCGTGTGTGAGCGGAGCTGAGCGGCTGCCTGCTGCTCGCTTCTCAGGAGGCATTTTACTTGAAAGCATGCTGCTCGGTCGGAACAGACCCAACAGCGACCGCGGGACCGTACTTCGTGGCCGGCCGGTACAGGGACAGTGTTACCGGCAAGGGGCACGCGGGGGAACGGCGAGTTTTGGTTTGGCACGAGTTTTGTCACGGTTTGACCGCAGCTGTCCCGTGGTGGCACGAAGCCGCCGACGGTCCGGGGGGTGTTTCCTGCAACCAGAGCCAAGCAACCTGGCGGGCCCTTTGGGATAGATAATTCAGGGAACTGCTGTTTTGCTATGTAAACCTTTTGTAAAAGGTGCATTTCTCGCTCAGAAGAACTGCATCTGCCGCTTAATGCAACAGTTCCGTCTGGTGCTGAAAGTGCCGCTGTGGTAGGCGGAGGTAAGAGGCGGCCGGAGAGCCCCGGCGGGGCATTGGCAAACTTCACTGGGGCTGTTCCAAGAGCTCCGGAGCGGCGGAGCAGGACGGAGCAGGGCGAGGCGAGGCGCGGGGGTCGCGGCCGACATGCCGGGGGAGAATTCCTCAATGGCGCTGCCCACGCCCACTCCGGGGGCGCGCGGGACCGCGGGCCACGCCCCCCGCGCACGTGTGGGAGCCCTCGCCGCGCGTTCCCCGCGGGCCGGCCCCGCCCCACCCCGCGCGATTGGCTGTCGGGGCCCCGCGGGCGGGGCGATCGCGCCGCGGCGGGCGGCCCCTCCCACGTGCGGCGGCGCGAGCACACATCCCGCACGTAGCCGGCGCGTTAATCAGCGCGGGGCCATCTGCCGCCCTCCTGCCGGGGCGGGGGCTGCTCGCGCCCTTCCCGCCCGCCCCGGGCCGCTCCCGCACACTGCCGGGGCGCCGCCGGCGGCAGCAGCAGCAGCTCGGGGCTTCGGCAGCACCGCCGCTCCCGCAGCGCCGGGCCGCGGTGCGTAGCCGAACCCGCAGCGGCGAAAGTTTTGCCTCGCCTCGCCTGGCCTCGCCTGGCGTCGCGCCGCGGCGGAGCCCCTGCCCGGCTCGGCCTGGAGCGGACGGCGGCCCCGCGGGCATCGCTTCCCAGCGCGGGCGCCGGCGGAGCAGCGGCGCGCCCGTCCCCGCCGCGCCATGCCGCTGGGGCACATCATGAGGCTGGACCTGGAGAGAATCGCCCTGGAGTACGTCGTTCCCTGCTTGCACGACATCGGCTTCTGCTACCTGGACAACTTCTTGGGGGAGGTGGTGGGGGACTGCGTGCTGGAGCGGGTGAAGCGGATGCACCGCGACGGGGAACTGGCCGACGGGCAGCTGGCCGGCCCCAGCCGCGGCGTCGCCAAGCGGCACCTCCGCGGTGACCAGATCAAGTGGATCGGAGGCACGGAGGAGGGCTGCGAGGCCATCAACTTTCTCCTCACGCTGATAGACCGGCTGGTGATGTACTGCGGGAGCCGGCTCGGCAAGTACTACGTGAAAGAGCGATCCAAGGTAAGGGTCCGCGGGGCCCCGACCTGCTGTCCGCCCGCGGCACCGGCTCCCAGCCGGCCCGACCCGCCTCGCAGCTGCCGCCGGGACCGGCCCGCAACTTTCCGCGGGCGCCGGCCCGTGGCGCGTCCGCGCTGTCGGGGGTGCCGGCGGGTGCCCGTGGCTCGGGCAGTCCCCGGGGCCGTCCCCGGGGGGCGGAGGCGCCGTGCCTGCCTGCGGGGCTCCCGTGACCGCAGCCGCTCTCCAGCCCTCGCCGCCGCCTGCGGGGTCCCGCTGGAAGCGGGGCCGCCCCCTGCGGGTCCCTCGCCCCGCCGGTGCCAGCAGCGCTCCGGGCCGGCTCCTCGCCGCTCCCTCGCTGCGTTTTCGCCGGGATTTTCGGCTGCCGGACCCCGGCCCGTCCCTTGCCTTTGCACCTGTGTGACACCGGCCGTCCCTTCTGCAGGCAGCTCCTGGCCGTGGGCTGGAGCGGGCTGCACCCCGCGTCTGTCTGTGCTCACGCCAGGTGCGGACAGGGTGGGACAGTGCGGGGCGTGCCCCACCGAAAACGTCTGACCGTGACTGCTTTCCGCGGGGGAGCAAGCTCTCCGTTCTCTCCCTGCGAACGAACGGACCCGGCTCTGATCCGATTGTTTGGATGTTTCGCCCATGTATTATCCTGAATAGTTTCGCGGTTCCAACTCTTGTCGCCGTTCTACAGCTGAAGAGATTATCGTTACTGAATTGAGTACGCACAGAATACGGGATGTTTAGTGGTTTGAACATAGCAAACTTTTGTTTTAAAGAGATAAGTTGTTTTTTTCTAGGCTTTCTCAGAAATGGAGGCGACACTTGTATTATTAGTTTCTTTGCCAATGAAGTTTATTTGAACTTGCAATGATATTAGTGTGGGATAACTTGTCTTTCCTTACCTGTTTTGCTACGGCTAAATGAACTAGCTTGGAACGAAGTTTACTTTGTCGTCCTGAATGCTTATTTCTTTATTTCTGACTTGACATAGTACATTTTCAAAAGGTCCACTGCTTTTAGAGTACGCCAGAAACAAAAACAATGAAACTTTTAAAAATGACGATAGGGAGAAATTAGGCATTTCTCTAGATCCTAACTTGCACTGGACTAAGGGCATGTGTGAATGGTACTGCGATTCTGCCCTGAAAATGAAGAAAAAAGTACAGTGATGTTCACCAGTGACTTGGGAACACACTGAAACCTGTGCATACACCCCCACACATTTAGACACAGTAGTGGGAACAATAAAGGCTCCTTACTCTTTGCTCCATTGAATTACTGATCATCAATTCAGTTAAAGCTTGGGTAGGGATGTTTTAAAATGTGGGTAGGTTGGATTGTACTTATTCCTGTTGAGACCCTTGTATGAGGAGGCATAAATAACCATCCTGCCTTGGCACACCTTAAAGGTCATCCCCATCCTTTCTCTGGGTGATTTCTGTTTACCTGTTTACTGCTGAAAGCGCGTTTGTGGCCAAGGGGGTGTGTGCAGGGGTGGATATTGTGCGTGTGTGTGTTTGGGGAGTTGCTTATAAGTTGGATTGGAGTGAAAAGGAGGCTGTCCAGCCTTTTTACAAGGTATTTGTAAAACAAATCAGCTGAATGAATGAAGGACGTTGGTGCTGGCTGGGAAGAAACATATTTTGGGCAGTAACTTTGGGTTGTAGAGATGACTTTAAAACGGAGTTTTGGTGTTTTTGAAGGCATTCTTGTACAAATAGTAATTAAAAAATAGAACAGAACTTGTTTTATAAATAGGCAGCAAGCTATTTACAATGAATAAAGACTTCTGGCTCTTGTGCTTTAATGTGAAAGTTGTCAGACTCCAAACAGCACATGGAAGTGCTGCACAACAGTCTGGGACTGAAAGGAACTCAATATCTCAATATTGTTTATAAAACCAAATGCAGAGAAATTTTCATCAGATGTTAATGGTAACCAATCCTCTTGTTACAATAAGAAGTACCGTGGGTATGTGAGGCCCTGGAATAGCAGCTGCTGTCTGCAACTGAGATGTGGGATGCCTTCAGCAGGAAGATTAGTCCTGTGACTAACAACTGATTACTACAGTGCATGCAGGTTCCCACGTAGGTTGAAGACATTTCTCTTCCACCATAAAATCTTCTCATTCTGCTTTTCATCTGAAGTCTTATGAATGCATACACACAAATCTCAAATTTAAATCCAGTATTTTTATCTGACAGATTATGCATGTAAATGCCCAAAAAACTTTCACAGCTTAACATTTGTGGGGATGCGGGATGTTCATGGGCAACTGGACCAGAACATCTCTGTGGGACATGTGCTGTTGTAATTTATTGTTTTGGGATATAGATATTACTCAAAACTAAGAGTTCAGAACAATTTGTTTAAAATGTAAGCATTTAGGTACACGTTAACTCAATTTGTCACGAAAATGTACTTATGTTGTATTAGCCCATCATTATTTAAAGGTTTATTCTTTTAATAAGTAGTATGACTTTAGTCTTCAGCTTAAGTGTTGGAAGAAGGCAAAAGATTTGCCTGGTAAATGAACTTATGTCAGTTCAGTGTGAAGTGCTTAATATTTTTGTAGCTACACAAACATAAGTCCTGAACAACTTTTGTCAAATAATTGAAATTTTCCTTTTTGCTAAATGAGAGAAACAAGTCAGTTGGGATTGTGCTGTTGCCAAATTAATTTCAAGAGCATTTCAAGAGAGTTAAGATCGCATCAAAGAGAATGAACAGAAGTAAAATTTTCAAGGGTGCTGGATATTCATAGGAGCTGCTGGCTGACATTTGAGGGCTGATCATGAAATGTAACCTGCCATCTTTGCAGACCAGTCATACAAATATATCTTTGGTGTAAGCTGTATTTTAAAATACTGGCTGGTTAAATGATCAAAGCATGGTTAAAGGTTGATGGACGCAATACACTGCTTGTTGGCTTTTGTATTCTCATCCGCTAGTCTCCATTGTCTAGTAAGATAATAGAATGGTTCCCCTTTTCTAGTAGGTGAATGACTAAGGACATCACTCTGAAGCATAATTGACCCAAGTTCAGTCTTCTCCTCAGAGTGAGAAGATTGATGTCCTTGTGCAGAGAGATGTTCTGGCCTGAGGACAGAAGTCACTCTGTTTTTGAGGACCTGTCACTACCCTGCTGGAGCTTTCCTTGGTGGAGAAGTGGGGGTGGGTGTTTCAGGTCAGCAGCAAAGCTGCAGCTTGCTCTGTGAGGCCAGTCACCCAGAGTGCCCTCTGGATCAGGTGGTGCTCCAGGGACTGCAGGTGGAAGGGTGATGTGCTGCAGCTTCTGGCTCCCCAGATCCCAAAGTTCCATCTTGGGGTTTACTGGCATTTGCAGGGGCTTGAGGGGGGTGCCCTGTAGGAAAACACTGTACTATAAATTTCTCCTTCAAGACTTGAGAAATGTTTTGGTCATGGGTGGAGTGTCTTTGGAGGTTTTTTGGGTGTTTTTTTAAGAGACTCTGCGGGGCCTGGGGGAATTTGGAAGTCCCTGATGTGAGGAGGCAGGGGACAGAGTATGGCAGGAACCAGGCGGGCTGGCTGGTGGGTGGAAGTGTTAAAGCTGTGTTTGCAGTGGGGTGCCTGCATAGTTCATCTGCTGCTATGAGGCTGATGCCCTTGTCTCATTTTACCTCTGCTGGAGAGGGGCAGCTGTCCCCGTGGCTGGGCAGGTCCCAGGGCAATGCCAGCAGTGCCTGCTGCCCTGGGTACCCCAGCTGAGTCAGCTCTTGACGTGCTGCCAGCGCTGCCTGGGTCCTCACGCTGAGGGGTGGAAGGTACTTTGAACTGGTGTGGCTGCACTCTCAGTGGACTCTGCACCTCCTGCTCTGAGTCACAGATACCCTCTTGGGTACCACCAAGGGCTGAAATCCATGTCAGGGCTGCCTCTGGGGACTTTGAGCCCATCTTGCACCTGCTAGACACCAGTGAGTCCTGCTGGTTTGAAAATAAAACAAGAATTTGTAATCTTAGTAGTTGCTCTGTGCTGAAGGAAGCCTGTGACTGATGTTTTCAGCTCAGAACAGAAGTGCTCACATTATGTCAAGTGTATGGCCTAAAGTTAAAAACTAAAAAAGTGTTTTGAATGTAAGATTAGTTAATTTAGAAGTCCCTATGGGATGTGAACCTTCTCAAAAACTTGCTTCCTCTGCTTGTTGGCATTGCACCACCCTGGTGGACCCTCTCTAATGGTCACAGGAGAAGTAGGTCTTTTGGTAGCAGCTCATAGCTAGTGAGTGTTTGCTGGAAACCAGAGTGGGTTCTTGTGCCTGTCAAATGATGGGGTGGTCCTAGGTAGGTTTTGAAATATGGTCTGCCTAGCAGGTTGTTACCAAGATTTCTGTTCCTGAAGATTGAAGAAATGGATGAGATGTTACAGCAGTAGTTTTATAAAGTCCCTTATAACTCAGGTAAGGAGGTGAGGTATTTTTGCATTTATATATGAAAAAAGAAAAGTGCTGTTCTATAACATTCAAATTCTATCCTTTGCAATTAAAACACAGTGAAATGCTGAGTTTTCTGACTTGAGGTACTGATTTGAAGAATGAGATAACAGAGAACTCTAGCTATAGTAGGCTGAAGAGCAGTACTGCCCCTTGAGATATACTGGCTTATTGTACTTACAAAGTATTTTTGATACTTGGGTAGCATTGTGCCTTACAGTTAGTTTACAACGGGAGGTCTGATGAGTACCACCATCCAGAAGAAATATGCATAATTTCTTTCTTCTAATCAAATGCGCATGTTCTGCCATAATGCACAAGTTCAAATCTGTTCTTCTGGCCAGCTGCCGGCAGAGTCCAGAGCCACTGGAACTGTAAATACAACAGACAAGTCATTTTATGATATGAAACTGAAGAATTCAGCATTGGCACAGATCCTAGTGTGGTTGCTTTGGCTCAGTGTCAAAGCTGATGTTTATATCTCTGTTTGTCAAGCAAGATTAGTTAGCCTGGTTAATTATACACAGGAATGTATAATTTTTACTT